AACCATCCACTTCGATCATCTCTTGAGCAAGTAGAAAGAGACTTAAGTCCAGCTGGTTGCTTCCACCCATTCACTCAAGCATTATAAGATCATACCCATTGATCCTATATCATTTGGTATCAGAGCTAAAAGCTCATATCCTCTATATTTTTATGTTTCTTTTTCATGTTTTATTAAGATATCCATTAAAAAAAAAAAAAATTTGGTTGTTTTTATTCTTTAATTTTTATAAACTTAAAAAAAAACTCGGAAAAATTAGTTTTATGTTTTGTTCCTTGATTCATAATTTTTTTTATTTAAAACAAAAACCCATAAAAAATCAGTGTTTCCCCCTTAAAATTGAAGTTTGTTTTTTTCACTAAAAAACAAAAAAAACTCTGTTTTTATTTCGATTTTTTCGGTTTTAAAAAACATAAAATAAATAAAAATATTTTATTTATTTTCTAAATAGTATTTGCTAAAAAAAACAGACTTTTGAGGACAAAACCATTTGAAGAGGGAGAGAATGATACAATATCCAAAATCAGTAAATCAAAGGTCTTCAATATGTGAGTTATTATTAGAATTTGTGCTTTATAATTTGTAAACTCAAAGGATTCTCATTCAAGTCCAAAGCAAGATTGTTGGTTAGAAGACCACTATTTGATTTAGCTTATTTTTCTCCTTTTGTTTAAATGTAAATAATTTAATTTGAATGTAATTATTGTAAAGATTCTTTGTAAAAGCTATAAAGCTCATTGTTTTCATTGTAAAAAGATATAGAAATTTTTGGAAATTAAAAGAGAATTTTTCTCTAAAGCTTTGGCTTTGTTTTTTGTTTATCTAAATAAGATGAAATTCTTCACTTAGTAGACATTTGAATTTATGTCTTTTGAGTGCGATGTCTTGAGACTAGGTTTGTGAATTCATCACAGGGGCTTTCACACCCTTGAGTGGCGTTCTTCGATCCATCCATCTATTCATCTCATCCACTGATCCAGCCTGAAAGAGACTTGAGTCCAGTAGGATTGATCCCATAACCATCTACTTCGATCATCTCTTAAGCAAGTAGAAAGAGACTTCAGTCCAGCTGCTTGCTTTCACCCATTCACCCAAGCATTATAAGATCATACTCATTGATCTTATATCAAAAATAGATTAATCTTGATAAATGTTTTAAGCTTAAGGATTAGCACATATATATATATATATATGATTATTTGGACATCATAGATTAACCTTAGACTCACCTAAAGTCAATAGTTTCATCCATAAACTCTCTTTTATTATTATTTTAATCATGTTTAGTGCTTGTTCTGTTTTTTTTGCTTGAATTAATGATCGTTAAGATTGCTAGTAATCTTTAGCTTTGTTATTGGTTTGATCGCCACTTATGATGTTAGACAAGAGAACCCTTAATAGTTCTTCTGCTTCTACTCAGAATTCAAGTTCTTTATTGCTACATTGAATTTGTATTTCACTGAATTTGTTTCCATGCTTTTTTATCAATCTAAAATATATAAACAGAGGTATTATTAAAATTTTATAGGAATTACACTGAATTTAAAATTTTTATGGAGGCACTGTTAAATTTAGTGTAATTCCTTTGAAGATTCCTTTAAGATTTTAAATTCAGCAGTTGCCCTATGACATTTCTAAATTTAGTGTAATTTCTTTAAAATTTTAATAATCCCTCTGTTTATATATTTTAGACTATGCTAATAGTTTTTATTTTTACCCTAGGTAAAAAATAATTTTAGATTCACCACGGTTTCAAGACCTACTCTAGATCCAGTTTCCGGCCAATTTTTAACCATTATTCTCTTTTAAATTATTTTCTCTTCTCACCGAAAGTGCCTCTTAAATTAGCGGGAACCTTTCAAGTTCATCTTTTCTTTCTGATCAGAAGTCACTCAATCATTCTTTCCTTATTTGATTAGAATAATATAAAGTAATAATTTTGAATGAATAATTATTTTGAACATAACATGAAATATCATAATCAGATTTGGGAAGGTACATGATGTAAACCCGTTTTAAAAAAGGCAAATTAATAATGGTGAAAAAACATAAAAATTTTACCAATCAGAAAAACCTGTATAAAAATGCGAAAACGCAAGATCTGCAAAATTGTGTTTTTACTTACCAAAAAGAGAAATTTTGAAGAATACTACTATTAGAATCTTCATTTCAAAACTACTATCACTAAAACCTTAATCAAAATTACCATCAATTATTATGTCTATAGACTATATTACCCTTAATTAAAGTTTCATCCAAAAATTCATCGAAACAGCTTCAGATTTCTCCGATGTGATTCCGCCGACACAATCGGATTCTCTGCCGATATTTTTCATCGATGTGATAGCGCCGTTTTATCGAGAACCAGAGGCATTTTGTTCTTCGACTTTACTCTATCTCCAATTTCAATCCAGATCTCTGGATGGTTTGGATAGAGAAGTCTTTCATCGCGCTCAGCTTCCGCTCCTCCTTCATCTCCCCTCTCGATGTGCTTCACAGCGACATTGGCGTGCTCTCATCCAGCGACATTGGCGTGCTCTCATCCCAGCGACATTGGCGTGCTCTCATCCTGCGATGTTTTCGTTCTTTTCAAAAAATCTAGTCAACGTGTATGTGAAAACAGTATTTGCTCATATGGAATTTGAGAATTTTTCTCTATATCGTTAGAAATGTGTATCTCTGAAGAAGGCTTAGTTTCGATGATTAACTGAAGAAATTACTCTAGAGATTTCTGGAATCATACCATCAAAAGTAAACGCTTTGATATATTCTTTGATTCTCGCTGATGAATTTTGCCAATTTTTGTTTGAATTGAGATGAATATTAACTTTTAACATATCACGCTACTATTAGAAAATCGCTTGCGTAGCTTTTTTTATTACGGAATTTTCAGATTGTTTATTGTTCTGTCTCTCTATTGCGAGAAGGCTCAGCTAAGTTATTAACTGACGAAATTGCATTGGAAGATTTGTGGAACCCTTTTAAACAGGCGTTGTGACTATATCTAATGTTTTTCTCTTGGATATGTTCTTCAGAAAAGATTTTCCGAAAGTGTGTTGATTCCAAAGTTTTCTGTTCTTTGTTCTGATGAGTTTGTTTGAAATCTTGTTTATAATAGTATGCTGAAATTTTGTCTTTAACATTTGATTTATGCAGAGACAATGCCGAAGAACAAGGGAAAGGGAGGAAAGAACATGAAGAAAGGAAAGAATGAAGCTGATGATGAAAAGCGTGAGCTTATCTTTAAGGAAGATGGGCAAGAGTATGCACAAGTTCTCCGTATGCTTGGCAATGGCCGATGTGAAGCCATGTGCATCGACGGGATCAAACGTCTCTGCCATATCCGTGGTAAGATGCACAAAAAGGTTTATATCGCAGCCGGTGACATCATACTTGTTGGGCTGAGGGACTACCAAGATGACAAAGCTGATGTCATCCTCAAGAACATGTCTGATGAGGCGAGGCTTCTCAAGGCCTATGGTGAGCTTCCTGAGAATACTCGTCTTAATGAAGGAATTGGTGGTGATCTTGATGAGGATGACGATAATGCCGGTGATGATTACATTGAGTTTGAGGACGAGGATATTGATAGGATCTAAGTTTGTTTTCAGGTTCAAGCAAGCAAAGTTCATTATCTTGGGGGTGAATTGTGTTATAATTTTGCTATGTTTACATGTCCTTTAATGAGTAGCACGAGAAGCGAATCACTAAGGCCAAGACTCGAACCCCTTATGCTTAATAAATTTCTTTTATAAAGAATTAAAAACCTTATTTTAAATCTTTATAAATGAATAATATACATTATATTGTCTGGGCAATTCCATATGGTCCTAGTTAAATAAAAATTTATTTTTTTATTAAGATTTAAAAACTTCTTTTTAAATATTTATAAATGATTAATACATACTATGTTATATATGCAATTCCCTATAATCAATAGTTTAACTATCATTGAATTTTAATATAGATTTAAAAACTTTCTTTTAAATCTTTATAAATGAATAATACACATTATGTTGTCTCGGCAATTCCATATGGTCCTAGTTCAGCTAAAATTTAGTTTTTATAAGGATTTAAAAACTTATTTTTAAATATTTATAAATGACTAATACATATTATGTTATATATGCAATTCCCTATGATCAATAGTTTAACTATCATTGAATTTTTATAAAGATTTAAAAACCTTCTTTTAAATCTTTATAAATGAATAATACACATTATGTTGTATGCACAATTCCATATGTTCCTAGTTCAGATAAAATTTAGTTTTTATAAAGATTTAAAAAGACTAATACATATTCTGTTATATATGCAATTCTCTATGATCAATAGTTTAACTATCATTAAATTTTTATAAAGATTTAAAAACCTTCTTTTAAATCTTTATAAATGAATAATACACTATGTTGTCTGGACAATTCCATATGGTCCTAGTTCAGCTAAAATTTAGTTTTTATAAAGATTTAAAAACTTCTTTTTAAATCTTTATAAATGACTAATACATATTATGTTATATATGCAATTCTCTATGATCAATAATTTAACTATCATTGAATTTTTATAAAGATTTAAAAACCTTCTTTTAAATCTTTATAAATGAATAATACATATTATGTTGTGTGGACAATTCCATATGGTCCTAGTTCAGCTAAAATTTGGTTTTTATAAAAATTTATAAACCTCTTTTTAAATATTTATAAATAACTAATATATGTTATGTTATATATGCAATTTTCTATGATCAATAGTTTAACTATCATTAAATTTTTATAAAGATTTAAAAACCTTTTTTTAAATCTATATACATGAATAATACACATTATGTTGTCTGGGCAATTCCATATGGTCCTAGTTCAACTAAAATTTAGTTTTTATAAGATTTAAAACCTCTTTTTAAATATTTACAAATGACTAATACATATTATTTTATATTTGCAATTCCCTATGATCAATAGTTTAACTTTTTTTTTTTGTGCAAACATCGATATATTAAATTAGATAAGAACCGGGTTCAATACAAGATGGTTTAGCATCTCTTTAGCCCTGCAATCGGCTGATCGATTTTCTTCGCTAGGGATATGAGAAAAAGTTACAGACTCTAATAAACACGAAATAGATTCAATATCTGATAAAACTCCATGGAGATCCGAAATACTAGCTTCGCCTGCAATTGCCATCACCAATTGTTGCGAATCCGTTTCGAAGGAGATTCTCCGGAAGTCAAGGTTGAGAGCATGCTCCATAGCAGCTCGAATCGCGAGGCCTTCAGCCATGAGAGGCGATTTAACGAAGTGGGCAATCTGTGCTGAAGAGGTGATCGCAATAGATAGCTGGGTCGAAATTCGATCTGAGAAATTCCATGCCAATCCCGCAGCTTGCTTCTCAGTGCTCCATGCTGCATCAGATTTGCAAACCAATCCTACATTTGGTCTTGGCAGTGATTTCAAAGACCTTACCCAAGTTGGGGCTTTATAAGGTTGTGCATTTAGCCACTCTTTTGCATCGATAATTGCTTTTAAACTTGTTTCCTCTTCTGTGAAGATTCTGTTACTGAAGATTCTATTATTTCGAGCGATCCACGGATTCCAACAGATCCAAGGTGCGAGTGGGCCTGTCCCAATTCCTACAGGAGGAAGGCACGTTGTCTGATGAAGAGCTCGCCAGCCGGACACAAACTCCTCGTGGGTCTCAGCTTGGAATTGTTCTCTAAAAGGTACATTCCCCCAAACTTTTCTCGCGAAAGGGCACTGGAAGAACAAATGTAGTAATGTTTCATTTTCCCCACAGACTCCACATCTTGAATCATCAGTAATATGTCTTGCTGCTAAACTCTCATTAACTGGGAGAGCTCCATGGATTGCTTTTCAGAGGAATAGTTTTATTTTTCCTGGAACCTTCAGCGCCCATAGATCAGAAATCCAGTTGATGTTTGCAGGGATCCTAACATTTGCATTTCTTTGACATGAATCCATAGCAGCATAGTATCCTGTTTTAGTAGAGTAGACGCCAGAGGGCTTTTTTAACCAGATTCTCTTGTCTGGGGCTCCCTTCGTGCTTGGTTTTATGCTGAGGATCACCGGTTCCAAGTGGGGAAACAGTTCACGAATTTTGCCCCTGTTCCATACTCTAGTATTAGGCAAAAACAGATCTGAGACAGACATATTAGCCGATTCTTTTGTAGCTGGTCCAAAAGGTCCCTCTTGATTCTCCGACGAAAGCCAGAAATCGTTCCAAACTTTCACCGATACTCCATTTCCCGCTGCCCAGCCCAGATTCTTTGCTAACAGATCTCGTCCCACTAGTATCCCTCTCCATCCGTGAGAAGAGTTGGCCGGGGGAGATACTTCTAAGAACGAGTTAGAGTGGCAGTATTTTCCAAGAAGAACTCTAGCAAGGAGAGACTCTGTATTAACCAGAATTCTCCAGCTTAACTTAGCAAGGAGGGCGTCATTAAAGCATTGAATATCACGTAGACCCAACCCTCCATCTTGTTTTCCTTTTGTCAATTTGTTCCACGCCAGCCAAGACATCTTCCTTTCGTCTGGTTTAGTATCCCACCAAAACCTAGTTAGGGCTGATTGAATTCTTTTACACAACGAGACTGGCAATTTAAAGAATGACATTGCATAGGATGGTGTTGCTGAGAGAACACTCTTTAGCATAATGAGCTTCCCGACAGATGACAAGAACTTGGAAGACCAGCTTATAGATTTTTGTCTGATCTTATCTACAATAGATGTAAATAGATCTTTCTTCTTTCTTCCAAAATGCTCAGGCAGGCCTAAGTATTTTCCAACGCCCCTTTCTCTATATATTTTGAGCCTCGTCTTCACCTTTTCTTTTAGGGCTTCAGGAGCCTTCCTAGAAAAAGTTATAGCCGATTTATCCTGGTTTATACGTTGACCAGAGGCAAGCTCGTAGGATGTAAGGATATCTTGGAGTGCATTTATGCTTTGAGGGTTTGTTCTGAAAAAAAATAGGGTGTCGTCTGCAAACAGAAGATGGTTGATCCGTGGACTGTTTTTTGCCACTCTGATGCCTTGAAGTTTTCCTTCCTCTTGGGCTTTTAGGCATAGCCCAGAGAGAACCTCGCTGCATAGAATAAATAAATAAGGGGACAGTGGGTCACCCTGCCTGATCCCTCTTTGTGGCTTAACTCTTCCTTTTGCCGTGCCATTCAATAGAAAAGAGAAGGTGACCGTAGTGACACATTGCATGATCCATCTAATCCATTTCTCATGAAATCCTAATCTGTGGAGCACTGCTCGGATGAAATCCCACTCAATTCTATCATAAGCTTTACTCATGTCTGTTTTGACAGCCATAGAGCAATACTTAGTGGCTTCCGATGTCTTTAGGAAGTGGAGAACTTCATGGGAGATGGGGACATTATCAGCTATTGCCCTGCCAGGGACAAAGGCGGATTGATTCTCTGAGACAATAGAATCTAGCACCGGCCGGAGCCTTCGAGTTAGCAGCTTAGAGAAAATCTTGTAATAGACATTGCAGAGCGCAATTGGTCTATATTCTGCTACTTTTCTCGCTCCTTGGGTTTTAGGGATAAGCCTAATATGGGTCTCATTAATCGTTCTCGGTAATCTCCCCGACAAGAAGAACTTTTGAATTTCAGAAACAATTTCTGGTCCCACGGTGCTCCAGTTATTTTGGAAGAAACTATCTGAAAAACCATCTGGACCAGGCGCTTTATCCGCATGAATTGAGAACTAAGCCTCTTTAATCTCTTCTGCTGTGGGAGTTTTGATCAGCTGTTTATTTGTTTCTTCAGAAATCAGAGGGGACAAGACTGTGTCGACTATGCTTGATTTGTCTCCCTTCTCAGACGTGAACAGATTTTTGAAATACTCCTCAATTGTATCGGTGATGTCTTCTTCTTTAAACTTTGCTATCCCTTCGTCATTTTCTATCACCGTTATACTATTAAGAGCTTTCCTTCCTTTCGTAATAGCATGAAAGTATCCTGAATTTTTATCTCCCAGGCTTAGCCAAAGGATCCTACTCCTTTGCTTCCAAAATTCTTCTTCTGATTTGTAGGTCTCTCTTAAATCCTTATTTATCTTCCTTAGAAGATCATCGTTATTTTGAGGACTTACCATGGCCTCTTCCAGATCTTTTTTCATTTTTTCTATGAAGGCTCTACTTTTAGCTTGTTGCTCTCTGTTCCACTTGATTATGGTGTCCCTGACTCTTACAATCCTACGTTCGACAAATAGATTATCTTTTTCTGTCCATATCGTTGCAATCAACTCTTTGACTTCCGGATTGCTTCGTAGTCTCCTATCAAACCTAAAAAGGCCTTTTCCTTTTTTCCTTGAGGCATCGAAGCAAGAGATGATCGGCTTGTGGTCTGAGCCCTCAAAATCTAAGTATTCGCTAACTCCCGAGGTAAACTCTTCAAACCAGGCACTGTTTGGGAGAGCACGGTCTAACCGGCAACGCACCACAGCTTGGTTATTTCGCACTCCCCTCCAGGAGAGACAGTCTCCCGTGTGCCTTAAATCGTATAGGTCACACTCGGAGAGGAAGGGTCTGAAGTCGATGAAAGTGCCTTCTGATCTGAACGCCCCTCCCTCTTTCTCTTCGTTGCTTAATATATCATTGAAATCCCCAGAGAGAAACCAAGGTGCATCTCTAGCTGTCGAGAGATTTGTGAAAGTCCTCCACATTGCTTTCCTTTTGACTTTATCAGTGTCAGAATAGATGAAAGTGGCAAAAAAGGATTTATTCTCATACGTGATCCGAGTGTCAATATAATTTTCACACTGGGATATAACATCCAGCTCAGTCTCCTTTTTCGAAAATAAGGCCAAACCACCAGCACCATGTCCGTGAGGGGGAACCAGGACATTATTGTCATAACCCGAATTAAACAATTTCCGGAGAACGAAATCATCGGGATTTTTCGTTTCCGAGAGGAATAAAATATCAGGACAGATACGTTGGCGTATCTCTCTGATCCTCTGAACTGTCAAGGGATTCCCCAACCCTTGACAATTCCAACAAGCAATTTTTAAGGAAGAGGATTGGATGGATTCTGAAAATCCATCTTCCTCTTTACTATTGCAGGAATAAACGTGCTACTCGGAGGGTCAGCTGCTTGTGAGCTCTCCCCTGTCTGGGGGTTCTTGCTCCGGGAACTAGCAGCCTTTGAGGGTCCCGTTGAGACTGATGTTGGATTTCGACTCACTTTATGCTTACGTCGGGGGGAGCTTTTTGTTTGTGCAACTTTTCTTTTTCTTGAGCTTGCTCCTACAATTTCTTTTGTTGATGTGGCCGTTTTTGCTATTTTTGGTGGTCGTCCTAATCTCTTCTTTGCAGGTAGTCTTTCAGGGACTGGCGGTCCTAGACGAAGCGCTGTTGGGATTCTTGGGGTAATAGGCAGGTCAACATCATCTGTTTCAGCCATAGGATGAGCAGCCAGGGACGCCATAACCATTTGAGTGGCCGTCTCCTCCATTTGGCCTTGTTCTTCTGCAAGCCTCAATCTTTCTTTCCTTGCCGCAGATTCAGAGGGATCAGCGCAGTTTGAGTATTAGATCATTACCTCTCGCAGCTCGCCTAGTGTTTCATTAAACGCCGATTGAGGAATCTCAATAGGGCTTTGCCTTTGAGGTGATGCAGGTCTGTGGATCCGGCCTCTTGAGCTTGGTGATTCTACATCATTACGGCCGATGAGGTGAGAGTCAGTCTCATTAGTGTTGTCTTTATCCATTGTCTCCCCTGTATGATTGGGTCTCTCCCTATTTGTTTCAGCACAGGTCGAAGTTGAGGGTGATTTGAGAGTTCTCCCTGTTTCAACCCATCTAGATGATTGGAGGCGATGACTTTCATTGTGTCTATAGGAGTCTCTCTGATAGCCCGACCTGATAGAGGGATCTCAAGAAAGGATGCCTCGATTCTCATATCTTTCCTTTTGGAGGCTAGGTGAGTGATATGAATCATACTGAACTCTTGAGTTACCATGAATCCCTTGTGTAAAGTTTCAATTCCTTAGAGGGGATTTTGACTGAGAGACTTTTTGGAAACCTTCCTTGTCTCGAGGAGGTTTGGCTGCCAACGTCCATTCTCTAAGAAGTATGTGGAGGATTACCAGGTGGTACCCGAATAGAGACGTCAGGGCAAGAAGATTCCTCATGGTCAAGTCTAAGACATTTTCGGCAGTGCTTCTCTAGCTTCTCATACACTAGGGTGGCCATAACCACATCTCCGTTTGAGAATTCCATGCAAGATAAAGTTATAAGAGGTAGCAGACCATTAACATGGACTCTCATCCTAGCAGAAGAGGCGGTTATTTCCCAGCATTCAAAAAAACCAATATCTTCTCCTATGCCTCTTAACGTAGCTTCATTCCACAGGTGAATCGGGATTCCTTGGACCCGGATCCAGAACGGGATCTGAGAGGGGAAGGAGTCGGACACAGTTTGTTCCCATTTTTGTAAGATTAACATCCAGTGGGCAAAGTGATATGGTCTGTTGTCCAGAACCATTTGAAGATCCTCCTCGTTTGCAAACTGGAACTGAAACAGACCTTGTCCGAGGTCCGCTCATACTGGCCGAGAAGAAGTTTTCCAGTGGTTTTCCAGGATGGGGATAAGCGACCAAGGTCTCTGGACCTTCGGGTTTGTTACACGGCCCACTAGAGTGAGTGAGTGCTTTCGGATTAGCTCAGAATTATCAAAATCTGGGACCCTTACTCTTCCAGATCTTGGAGGATCGTTAGGGACCGCTATTTCTTTTCCTTTCTCTGCGTATGGTATACGTCGAGCCATTGTTGGGGGATGCAGGCAGAAAACAAGATCTACTTGGGTGGAGGAACTTACGATCTCTATACCAAAAAGGTGAGAGCAGTTTACCGGGTTAACGCAGGCCCGTAGACGAAAAGAGAAACACCCACTAGCTGTAGAAGGAGAGCTGAAGAAAGTAGGGGCTTGAGATCTTAAGCCACCTTCTTCGAAGCCAAGATCTTTGAGTCACCTTCCGTTGCTGCAGGCTATGAGAACCTTGTGTAGATCTGGTTGCTTGAGGTGGACAAGAGAGCTCTACACCAAATAGATGAGAGCAGTTTGCCGGGTTAACGCAGGCCCATAGACGATATAAGGGTATGTCAAGCCGTTGTAGCAGGAGCTGTGTAAAAGCGGAATCTTTGACTCCGAAGGCGGGGGTAGAACCCCGAAGAGACAAATACCAGAAGCGGTTTTAGAAGAAAAACTTTCTATTTTAGGAAAAAACCGGGTAGTAAAATGTAAACAGAGGTCAAAACCAGGTGGTTGAAAACTATCTAGAAACTCGGGCCTGAGAGATTTTTGTTACACAGAGGTCAAACTCAATTTCTTTTTGGTTAGTATTTGGCTATTAGCAATGATCAATAGTTTAACTATCATTGAGTTTTAATAAAGATTTAAGAACCTTCTTTTAAATCTTTATAAATGAATAATACACATTATGCCTCTACAAGTTCCATGATCATTAGTTTCAGGTATCATATTGGTTATACATCTGCAGTTTCCAAAGAAAGAACAACTCATCTGATTTTGCCTCAGTCTCTGGTGCTGAAGCAAAGCTTGCAACTGCAGATTCCTTCAGGAACGCATATCTCAATGAAGTTGAAACGAATGCTGTAAAATTTGCTGTTGTACACGTCTTCTTCCTTGTGGAAATAATTGTTTACGTCATTGGAAGTGAATGTCTTGCTTAACGTTGTACTTGTCCATGCTGTGCTGAGACAAGTGCTCTGCACTGAAGCAGACCCATTAAGAACTAATAAGATCAGAATGTGAATGTTATTCAATGAGAACGACATTGGTGATGTTGGGATATGCATATTATTGATGCCACTGCTACTCTACATATTTTAGAGCTTTCAAGTCAATGAGAAACAAGATCCGTTAGCTCCATGAGGGTTCATGCCCCAGGAGAACAGACACACATAGTTCAAGGTGTGCGAATACAACGACATCAATAAGAGGAATGGTGAGCTCAAACTCTAAAAAGCTATGCTCTAAGAGAATCAAATTTTTTTTGATGATCAAAACAGTAAACAAAGAGAGAGACACACACACACCTGTGTGGCAATTATGATTGTTATTGATGACGATCATGTAAGTTGGTGTATTTGGTTATAGTAAGATCTCTAGATCCATGGCAGCTTCTCTAAGACTATGAAATGGAATGTATGCTGCTACCTCATTAGCAAAAAGCTTCTCATTCCTCCACAATTTCTCCAATCTGCACCTTCCATTATCTGCAAACTTTTAGAAAATAGTTTAATATAAAAATATGATTCACAGAATCAAAAGCAAACCCTGATAAATCCTTAGATACATAAATTATATAATCAGATACTAATTGTAAACAAGTATATAATCAGATACAAATTGTAAACATGTACACTTATTCTTAAGATAGAATAGAACATTTACTTGGGGAACTTTTATAAACCCTGAAAAATACTTAGATTCATAAATTAACTTAGCTAGACAAAATTTTGATTTCCAGAAGAACTTGAATCGAGTAATCCCATTTTTCGGGTAAGATCGATCCTATATGTATTTCTCCAAGCTACATAAGTTATGGTTTCACTAACATGTAACTTTTCTTTATCATATTCTTAGCGAGGACTCTTTACTACAAGATTCTGAAACCAACGTGCTTTCAATCATGAGAAGGACCAAACCTGAAAGACGGAAATCCTTAATAACTAGTTGCTCGCATAAATTGGGGAAATTAAGAACATATGGATCCAAAAGTAAGGAAAAAGGCGCCTAATCATCAAAGAAATCTAACTGTTTATGGATTCCCCAAATCCTCTTTCCTCCTCAATGATCACTATCATCGCTCGTGGATCCTCGTTCACCAGACTCTATGCTTCTCCTTCTTTGATAATTATCTTCTACGCCATGAATAGGATCTGTGTTTCCTATTCGTATTCTTTATCGGAACTTACGACTTTTGATTTTCGATTTCAATTTGTAGGGTAGATTAGTCAATTAGCTTTTGGGTTAGTGGTATATTTAAAAATGATCAGCGCTTTGTGTTACTTATGAAAAGTAATATAACTAGAGTAGTATTATTGAGATTTTCCCTACCAAAACTATAAAGAAAACTTTATTATGCGGAAAAGTATGTTTAAAATAGATTATTTACAGATTCAATGTTAATATAATTTATTATATAATTAATTATATTTTATTATTTAAATAAATACAAATAATTTGGTGTTGCAAAAAAAATATTTAATGATAAATTTATATCTATTATTTAAGTTTTGCAATATTTTAAAAAATTTATATACTTTTTTTATTTTAAAAAAAATTGTAAAAAATTATAAATAAGAATTATATTATTTTATAATAGTTAATTGAATTATTAAATATTTTATTTTTTTATCATAGATAATATTAAAAATATTTTTAAATAATCATATTTTTCTATTCTGCATAATTTATCCAATCATGTTAAAAAAATGTATTCAGCATTAAATCATTCAGCAATTCGTTTTTTCTACCAATTCAATTCGACAGTAAAAAAAATATGTTACCAATCGGAAATTGACTTGTAAATTAGACAGTTTTTGAAAAAATATTTTTGTATCGTATAATAAAACTTTTATAAATTAGTAATGTTAAGACCATTAATTTATAAAGATATATTATTTGGTTGATCAACTAATTTTAAAATTGATATTATTTAATTGATCAACTAATTTAAAAATTGATAAAACTATTATTTTATCAATGTATTAATAATTTATTGAGTATTAATTTATAAAAATTCTAATATATTTTTCAGATTTGGACGAATTTGCTTACTAAAAATATTGATTTTTTTTTGGGCCAATTACTAAAAATGCTGTATTGATTGATAAATTACATATATATTCAAAAGGATTGAATATTTGAAACGCCAAAACAGACATAATCTTTCATAATGGAAATTAGGGTCTGCTTTGGCGTTTCAAATATTCAATCCTTTTGAACGTATACAGACTTACAGTCATATAAATAGGGAACTCGAACTGACAGAGGAGCGGATTCAGAGAGATGACGACGATATCGCCGAGGCGTGACAGCGGAGGAAGAGCCAGCGACTGCCGCTCCTCGAAGAAGCAACGCCTTCCTTCTGTTTCTGAAGAAGAATCTTCCGACGACTCAAGTTCCGGGGAAGAAGAATCTGACGACGACGACTCAAGTTCCGGGGAAGAAACCGAAGTAGAATTTCAAAATGGCTCAAGCGAGAGCCGTGAAAGAGAGCTAGTGGTGCTGAGTGATGATAGCGACTCCGAGGACGAGAAAACATACGCAGAGCTTCTTCGATCAAGAAGACCACGAAGGCTTTCACCACCCAAATCCCTAACGCTGCCGGATTCTGACGTTCTCGACTACCCTAATTGCTTCGAGCCATTGAGGAAGCCTATCTTTCAGGTTTGGTCCTATTTCTTTGATTGAACACCCTTTGTTTTGTACGATTGATTA